GCATTATTTTTACATAAACCATAAAAATCACAAAAACATCCGTACGAAACCTAACCATTCTCGAGCCCGAGAAAGTGAAAGAATCTAGGCCAAGAAGAGGTTCCTTGCTTGGTCGATCAATCGTTTGCTCAGAAGTTAGAAGCGCAACACATCCATCTATTCTCATTCCATTCAAGCCCAATTTCGGGGCTTGGTGGTGGCACGCCCCGCATCCAAAAGAAGAAGGACCAAAAGTTCCTTCCGTCGGCCGCCCCGGCCGAAAAGAGGGTAACAATATTACAACAAAACTTTCTGAAATATTGAAGAAGAGATATTACATCATTTTAACCTTATAAACGTTGGATCAAGAATAATTGAACGGTTAAACGTGTTTGGTACTTTAAGGTGGTGTCTTGACTGAGTCTTTTTTTGTTTTGGTGTCTTCACGAGTTCAGTGGGCCCGCGATACAACAGCAGCCACACAACGCCGAAAAGATGAATGTAACAGTTTGGAATTCGATGACCAAAAGAAACAAGTGGGAATATTATTTAAATTTTGGTGGCCGGGAAAAGTTTGATTTATTTTTGTGATCAATATAGATGCATGGGCAAGAAAGAGACAAATAGATATGATAATTATAGAACCTTCATCTGCCTCATTAATCTGTTTTGAATGTTCATCCTCCCACTTTTTCCATTGATGTATCTAAAGCATGATAAGGATGTTACTAAAATCCTATCTAAAATACTAGATGTTCTCATTGTTGGAGAACAATCAGAATATAACCAAATAACAGAATAAAAACAGCACGTAATATATTATATATATACATATAATCAAATCAATACAACATTAGAATAAATTACAAAATACTGACTTGGATAGATGATAGAGTAGTGTGGAGTTGCAGTGTCCTTTAGACAGTATTTCTCCTCTACCCTTGTGCTTGTAGTCCAATAGGAGTCTGCCCACCAGGATTAAACTATCACAAATCAAAGCCTAAGCATTGTGGCTTTGATTTCTAACGAACAGTGATATGCTCTCTTAGGAAGTATTTATGTGTGTGAGAATGATAATGCAATTCCAAAGTCTATATCTTCTAGTTTGGACGAATTGTTAATATATAGAGGTCTGATACCTCTTCATCCAATAGTTAGAATAATTGTTTAAATAGATTCGAATTTCAGATAATGATTTTATCTTAAAACTGTTCACCCGTTTTGGTGTTTATTCCTGAGATGGAAGGGCAAGGTTCCCCACTGCCTTGGAAACCATTGACTGGTCAACAAGTCAGTTTTCTTTGGTGTATGAGCTTG